TTACTAGCCCTCAAAATAATTCACAAGCCCGAAATTTGAATGTAGACACGGGTTTCATCATTAAACTGCTGATATGATGAACATTTTTATTAGGCCATAATCTTGAATGATTTAAAAGTGTGTTATAACTTAACAAGTCGGAGAGAGTGATATATTTACAAAATGACCCATGAAAAGTCTCCAGCCAGTCGGGCCAGCTAGAGGGACAGTGGCTATTTCGAACACTGTGCCCAAAATACATGTTATTTAAATGTGTGTATTGTTTTGTGTCTGTGGAATAAACTGTACAAAACACTTATTTTCTGAATAACTTGTTTTAAGGGTGTAATGAAAAGTGTGCATTTCTGTTATCTTATCCCATTCACAGTCATCATCTGTTGGTCAACACTTTGTTACCGTTTTGGTTTTACATGAGCTAAAATTACAATTAAAATCTACACTAAGAAGCAACTACAAAACTTGAACAAATAGAAAGAAAACCCTAAACATTTGTTTGATAAAATCCATTGTTTATGTATGTAGTCTTTAACCACTGCAAACCCTTAAAAAGAAGTCATAGTATTTTGTGACAGGGGTCAATGCATGTCAGTGTTGCTATGATAAAGTAAAACTCTATTTATTTGTGCCTGTAGATTGACATGCTCCCATTATATTGAACTCCAAATAAGAAAAAGAATTACTTAGCAAATATATTATTATTTCAACATACCACAAACAACTTTAACAAATATGTAAATTAAAGTGACAGAACCCTTTTTCATAATCATTAAAACTCCCAGAAGGATTCATGGTGAATTACTTTGTAATAGTGATTGTACCAGGTGTTCAAGAAATGGTGAACATTATCTGCCCCACTAGTGTGGAGATATAATAATAAGTGTAGCTCAACCACCTTCTCTTCAGAAACTCCCAGAAATACAAGTATGGAACTTGACATATACTGGTATTTTTTCAAGCATTCAGACATTCTTTTTATAAGTGTTTTTATAAGCGTTTTTCTGTTGGAACTGAGGAAACAAATTGTGCTGACATTCAACATAGCTATATTTGTCATATCAAAAGGACCTTAATTTGTGCTGTGTCAAAACTGACAGTTGTGTTTTAAGAAACACTTTGGAAAAACAAAACAACATTCTTATCGGAATCCTTTGTTAAAAAGTATAAAACTTTTTGGAAAAGAAATAAAACTCTTTTGAGTGGCACCTTTGTTATGCATTATGACAATGTGTTATTTTCACATTTGTCCATTCTTCTCTTCGGTGCTTGTGCAGAATAAACTAATTGTCCCCCGCCGCAACGTGGAACGGGGGACTATGTATTCAGCAGCGTCCCTACGTATGTACGTACATCCCGATTCTTGTTAACGCGATATCTCATGAACTGTTGTACCCAATGTCTTCAAATTTGGTGACAACCTACATTGGGGGGATTACCCTGACACCAGTCGATTTGGGTGACCTTGACCATATCTTCAAGGTCACAACAACACTTTTCAAACTGTTGTTAACGTTATATCTCATGCACTGTTGTATCCAATGTCCTCAAATTTGGGGATTACCCAGACACCAGTCGATTTGGGTGACCTTGACCTTATCTTCAAGGTCACAATGACACTTTGAACACTTTTCAAACTGTTGTTAACGTGATATCTCATGCACTGTTGTACCCAATGTCTTCAAATTTGGTGAGAGCCAACATTTGGGGATTACACAGACACCAGTCAATTTGGGTGACCTTGACCTTATCTTCAAGGTCACAATGACACCTTGAACACTTTTCAAACTGTTGTTAACGTGATATCTCATGCACTGTTGTATCCAATGTCTTCAAATTTGGTGACAGCATACATTGGGGGATTACCCAGACACCAGACGATTTGGGTGACCTTGACCTTATCTTCAAGAGGGTTGATAAGCAAGATCAAAACAAGGGTATCTGGCCATGAAGTTTGACTTGAGGTATATGAATGACCTGATATGTTTTGATAATGGTCAGATAGCCAATCCTCTTCCTCTGATTGACATACCTGAATTAGAAATACAAGGGAATAGGAGAACTCAAGGTAAAAAGATTCAGAGTAATAACAAAATATCCACAAGACTGTTTTACAAGAGAGGATGATTTCATCTTCCCAATAGTCCATGTTTTCTTGTGGTTAACAATAGCAACTCCATCCTTTGTTGTCTAAATTTCACAAGTACAAACGTTATTCTCTTTGTGCAAGATTTCAAAGAGCATTTTACAACTATTGAACTTGGTGATAATGTTAAAGGTCTTAGTAAAGATTTCAAAAGATTTTATGGTAGATGTGTAGAGTTTTCCTATTTGAACTTGTACCATATGTTCCCATGTTATTGGTTTTTATTTCAGATGAACTATAGCCATGCCTTTGCATGTGTTTGTGATAGGTGCCATTAGTAGGACAGTACAGTATGAAGTATGGTCGCTGGTTGATAATGATAAATACATAAAGTTGGATATGGTGATATACTATAATGAAGAGATTTCTTGCTTTGTTTCTAACCTAATCTAATCATTTTGTATAGCGCTGAGAGGTTCCAGGTATACTATTCACTGGCGCTTTCACATGTTCACAGTATGTACACAGTATATACACAGTGCCTCTAGGTTTAACAGTCATAGGCAAGTTGGGTTTTAAGTTTGTCCGAAATGTTGATGACATTTCTGATAGCTTGATGTTGTCTGGAAGAGCATTCTGCATCTGAAGCTGCGTTTGCCTTTTGCTGTTTTACAGTGAGGCTTTTGGAGAAGGTCCTTGTCTTGGGAACGCAGTATGCGGCTTGGTGTGTGAAGCTGAACAAGGATAAGAAGGAGCAGAGTCTGTCTTGAGGCATTGGAAGGTGTGGAATAGGATGTTGAACTTGATTCTGCTGGAAACTGGTAGCCAATGGAGTTGTTTGAGAACAGGAGAGATATGAAGGTGCTTAGATGTCCTGGTAATGATTCTGGCAGCTGTATTTTGGAAGAGTTGAAGGTTATGAAGGAGTGTTGAGGATATGCCATATAACAGGGAATTAGAGTAATCTAATCTTGACATGATAAGTGATTGTGCTAGCATTTTAGTTAAATCTTGAGAAAGGTATCTGTGGAGTTTTCCAATCTGATGGAGATGGAAATGACCTGTTTTGCAAACTGCTGCTACTTGTTTCTTCATTGTCATGTTGGAGTCAAAAACAACTTCCAGATTCCGTACTTGTTTGCATGATGTACGAAATCTGGGCGTTGTTTTTGACTCCAACATGACAAGTAAAATACAAGCAAAATACAAAATATGTACATCATTAGGATGTTTTTCCCAAACCAGAAATGATGGGAGTAGTCAGATGTTTCTGTATTTCTCCAAACGGATGATTGTATCAGATGCTGAATACTTGATTATATCAGAATTTCTGGTGCATTTTAGAAATGATAGCTTCTGTTTTTGCAAGTAAATTTAAACACATTTCCTGGATTTCCATTCATTTTACGTGACCAACATTAATTCCTTATTTATATATATTTTACATTATATTGGTTAACTCTTGTCACTATAGTCTTGAAATAAACTAATTAAACAAACATTTAGGCAATAGAAACCTAAGCATTATGTGTTTGCAGCATTTCTTTTTTTTGTTAAATATTTACCCAGGTGAGCTACTATGCTTTGTTTCTGTAGTGTGAACATTACAAATCAATACATAGTTGCAGTGTTTAGGAAGGTGTTTTGAATTTATTGGGTCTTTGAGGCAGTTTGATACTAAGAATTGGTCCTGGTTATTAATTTATTTATTCACTGAAATTTGAAACAATAACATAAGTTAAATGCAAATTATATTGACATGCTAATTTCCAACACTTTCAAAATCCCGATTATTAAATTTAAACATAGCTGCTGTAAGTTTTTGTGAGAGAAAAAATCAGTTAGCAAATTGGAACACATGTGTAACAGAATTAGTAGTTCCTGCAAGATATCAAATTGAATCAGGCAGTATTCCACATGTCTGGAAGAGTAACCTTTAACAAAACTAAACCAAAAAGTTTGGTGGATGAGTAGCATTTGTCACATATCTGACAAGAAAAGACAGAAACATGCAAAAATTAAGTGACCATAATATGTGAACTCATAATATGCCCCTGAAAGTGGTATTCTTTGTAAATAATGAAACATAGATTCTGAAAAAAGTTTAATGTGTTAAAATAAATTTGAAGTGCTTGTGCTCTCTCAAAATGTACCCGAAACTTACTGATTTCTCTTATAGACACAAATTTCTTATCTTCGACTAAACAATCTTATATAATTGGTCAGTTCAATATTAATCTTTTTTAGTAATATGGCAAATCTTCTCCTTGACAAAATACTTGTAAACTTTCTTCCCAGCGCTTGTAATTCAGAAGACGAATCTGAAGATCCACTTAAAATATTAAAACGGTCATAGATTTTTAACCATATTGAACCCAACTTGTCAGTAGAAGAGACTTGTCTGAGAAAAAAAACAGTGACAGCAGGCATTGATATTGACGTGTAAAATGGGATGTAGATTGTGGTGTATTCCCCTTACATCTAAATCAATACCAGCTTCCTCTTGTCAGCTGAGCAGCATTCCATGACAGTGTAAAACTTGCAATTGGATTCTTCTCTTACAGGCCTGTTGGGCTATCTTAACAGTTCCATCATTGCGCTCATCGTCCATGCCTCACAAATGCCTTGTAGCAATGTACATCTGCAATTTCACCTCATGTTACAATGCTGGTATCATGTATGAAATGTACGTGTTTAGTTTTTGCCCCTTTTGCTGTCAATCAAACACATGAGGCATTACGATTGGTGTTTTATCAACTAATTGATTCACAACCCTTGTGGAACCCTCCACTGAAGAGGTATTGATTAATAATACCGGACAGGCACTTTAACCAATCGGGTGAGGGTCTGAACTCCAAACATTGTCGAGAAGACCGATCCCTCTAATCCCTAATCAAATTTTTCCATTGGCAAAGTTTTCGTCAGCCATGTGAGTGTGTACTTCTGTCACCAGCGTTGCCATTGGCTGACCAGTCATAAGCATGGCCATATTGTCTGCCCTGATTCTGATGACTATACCTATTCCTGATATGCTGATAATGACATTAGGCCCTAACCATGTATATCAATCATTCCAGCCTTGTCAAGCTATACATACCCTCTGTGTGAAGCCCCTGTCTGCAGATCTGCCTTAGGAGCAGACGGACAATTTAAACACCTGTGCAACAGAAGATCAAGGCTATAACTGGCTCAGCTATTGGAAGAAACTTGTTAATGGAGACCGCTTAGAGAAATTTGTGCCTTTGGAATTGTCAGACATTCATTCACTTAAACTTTCCATTCAACTTTTTTTAGTTTTCACAAAAATCCTAAAGGTACTATTGTCGTCTGATTTTGACTGTTGAAAAGGTCGAAGATGTGTTTGTGGTAATTGTGCCTTTGTAGCTTTTTTGTGGACATCATTACAAGGGGACAACATTGGAAAGATTTGTCAACTGGAACAAATGGAGAAGTGTTTGTCTGCTATTTTCTGGCAGATCTGAAGACTATCTTATACAGTGAGGAGCTTAAGTCATCCCATCATGCTTTGTGGTTGACAAATAACTCTTCAGTTCCGAAGATTTTGAAACTCCTGTCAGTTTCCTTTGACAGTTGAGCCTTCATACAATACCACTTTAATGAGGAAAAACTTCATTTTTGTCAATTTTGAGTTTCTAAAAGCCTCAAATTGGTGACAGTCATATTTTCAGGAAGATATTATTGCCAAGACTTTGACAATAGTGTTGTCGAGAGACAGTGAGCAATTATTGATCAGAAAGCATCGTGTCTACCTTCACAGTTCTGGACAATCCGCCTCCCTTGTCAGCTGAGGTATTTATAAACAAACATTGCATAGGTTTGTGTTAATGGGACGGCTGCTAATATACCTAACAAGCTCTCACATATACGTCGTTACAGAGCCTGGACGTGCTCTTGCCTTTCAGCTCTACAGTTTGAAAAATTCCAGGTAAGCCTATATTTAATTCTCTCTAAATGCCAATGGTTCCCATTTGGAACGTAATTCAGTGGGAAGGATTTAAGCTCTGTCGTGTTTTGCAATGGATTAGTTAACAGACAAGGATTGTATGATATACATGGTGTTTGGGTTTGGAGAGAAATTATGTCATTAATGAAATGGGATATTTTTAGGTCCTGTGTATTGAGTTGATTAAGATTGAATGAGTGCATAGAAATTAAGGAAACACAGTTAGTCTATTGTAGTGATGATGGATTTGTCGTGTTGCCCTGATGTTCATGATGGAGATGGTGTTGGCAATGACGCTGCAGTCAGTTGCTGTTGGGATGTAAATCATGTCATAATGAGGATGTTGGTAAGGATATTCAGTTTCATTTTATCTGAAATACTCATCAGTAATGAATGTTACATGGAAGATTAAAAGTACTGTCCATACAAAACTTATTTTTGTCAGTCTGAAATTATCTCCTACTGTACTATTTATTAAAAGTGAAATAGAAAATTTGAGTAAATAAATGAGTATTTATGAATAGATGAGTCACCCTGCTTGGAAGTATAAGAGAACTATCCGTGCTGGATCCGACCAGAGCCGATTATCTGCCATAGGGATATGCTGTGTACACTGGTGGCTTCAGGTTTCTGTCATTGCTAAGCTTCTCCTGTCTGTGTTCCTGATTACTGAATGGCATTAATCAGAAAAACTAGACATGTACTTTCATTATGTCCAAAGTTTCCAAGCACTGACATATGCTATGGCATCTTAATGCCCCTTGTTTCATATAGAACACTCTGCTGAAAAAGTGTTAGCAGTATTCACTGAAGTTACTTCATTCACTTGTGGTCTTTGATGGTGATTATCAACCATAACGGAGTGTAGTAGCAGGTACTTTCAATAAAATCATCAGATGTTAATAGAAATAGCATGTAAAGTTTTGTTCAATCAATGAATGATGGTATCTGCCATTTGTCGATAAATATCAGATGTTTAAGAAGGTGCTGTGGTTTTAAATCACAATTGACAAACCAACAATTTACTGAGTTTTTCTGCCAATTCAAATGTGGTCAAGTTTTGGTAAATGTGTTTCTTAGTTGTTTGACATCAATACTTTTGGTAAATAATTTCACAGCTTAACCACTTCATCGTGATTGCCTGAAACACTAATGTACTTCTGAAGTGTGTCAGATTTGTACACACTCGTGTGCGTCTCAATCTTTTCTCAACTTCGCACTTGTCCAGAGCAAGAAATCATCCTGGTCACATGCAATTACTGGATGGTGACATTTTGAAATGCTGTGAAGGTGTTGTGGCTTTGACAAGAATTCCCATGATTGATATAGCTTTTAGTGGTGAACAGTTCACACTACCTTCACCTCAGTGAGAGTATCCAGCAGCTCATCTCTGTCAGCTGTGTCATAGTGAACTCTGACACATCGGAACATGTTCATGGCTACTTGAAATTGTCAGGCAGAATGTAACGTGAATGTGACTTCATTAGTAGCATGCATTCTGCTCCATGTCTGAACAATTGTAAGGATGCCCTAGGCTTTTTTCTTGTGTAAATATGTCCTTGCAAAGATTTGTCCAGAGAGCTGAAAGGAAGCTCCAGCAATGTCCATAGCTTGGGAAGAAACCTTAAAGTTAAAGCTTGTCTAGCAGTGTGAGAAAGCTTAATCAGCATAGCCTTGTTCAAAGTTCAGCAAAATGTTCTCAGTGTGCTTGTCATTGCGTGGAATTTAAGGATGAGGGATGCTATTGTCTGCAACTTCGTGGTATGCATGTCATTGTAAGAGAGTTAAAGAATAACAGATCATAATGTTAGAGACTTTAGAGACAGCGTGCATGTTTTATGATGTTGGATCAGTTAGCAGACTGGGGCAGGCAAATCATGGTATGTGACTTTAAGGATGGTGAAACAGATTGTTGGCCAGAATGCATGACACTGTATTGGAGATTCAGAATTTGGGATCAGATTGACTTTGTGTCATGTATTGCATTGTGAGGATTAAATCTGTTCATTTATTATTGTCTGGGAATTGAACATAATGGGGGACATGTTTTGAGAGTTGTCAGTCCAGTAGTATTCAGTGTAGTGTTTAAACATTGTAGGAACCTGTGAGTCATGGAATTTCTGCTAAAGATCTGAGCATCAAATAACATTTTTAGTGAAATTAAGTTGTGGAATGAATTATGTGGTTTGCGTAAAGTATCACCATACTATCTCAGTAACTGAAACATTCACTGGAAAAATCAGCTTATCTTTTTATACACAAAAGAAAAAAATAATTTAAAAACACATAAACCATGGACACCCAGTATATCTTACTATGCATGGGAATCTTATTTCAGTACTTCACTTTGCCATGTTAGTGTTAGAAGGATGTAGAATTGCCACTTATTTTCCAAAAATATATTCTGGCATTGTTTCAAACTTCATAAAAAATGTCATATTCTTTAAAGATTTGTTAATTGGTAACAATGTTTGATATTTCCATTGGTCAGTTCTTGTCCAGAATACTGTGTCCATACAGACTCGACACAAGAATTTAAGCTATGGTTGTTCCCAAATCCCTCAGAGGTCAAAGCTTTTGTGATTTGTCCATTTGTAAATGAGCTGCCTTTATGCAGTGTGTGGAGTAGAAGGAGATTAGACAAGTGTACTGGCTGAAGGGACACAGCAGTGACTGGTGTACAACCCTGTCGAGAAGCTTGTAATAGGGATATTATTGTCAAGACGATTAGTACTATATACCTCAGCCCTCGTGTCACCATAGAAGGTAAGCCCTCACTGCCAAACCTATCACTGTGTGATCATATAGTGGCTCATGTATGTCTATACTGTAAAAAATGTTGGCAGCAAAATGAACTGGAGAAGATTCATATTCTGTTGGCATGAACAGCTGGACCTTTATTCAATACCATTGTATTATTGAAGTCAAGTGTGTCATACAGTTTCTACCATGAGGTAACAAGGTGATGAGATTATCTCAGTTGTGTAAGAAATCATAGCATGTTTCTGCATCAATTCTTGCACTGAATAAGAGAGTTGGTTGTATGCAATTGTTATGTGATTCCGAACATGCATCAGCCTCTGATGTCACATATTTGCCCACATGCTGTGCCAGAATACTCTGTCTTCACTTCCAGCAGTATATTTATTCCCTAATCCTCTCTCAGCTATTTTACTTCACACTCATCAAGTGCTGAATTCATCCAAATTATCTCATGCTGCTCATGAACTGAAATTGGGTTGGGTTGAATGAAGGTTGATTACAATGGTCCTGAGTAGTTTACTGTTGAGGATGACAGCATCTTTTATCAACCATCACTGCTCTAGTTCAACTAGCGTGATTTCATAAACCTTACTACACAACCATGCTCACACAAAGTGTTCCCTGCTCTTGGCTCCATGCAGTTTCCAAGGTGTGTGAATGCTGTAACTATGCTGTTTTCAGACCTATATCTTCAAACCTGATTTTGTGAAAAAGTTGATAACAAAACAAAATACTTGATTATCATACCCAGGGTAATCAGTGAGTGTAACTTCATCCGACATGACTGTAACTTCATTCTGTACTGGATAATTCCATAGCTGTAGGAAAGAAAATAACTAAAAACTGTCCTGGATTTCCCAATGTAACCGTGTTTCAGAAACTGTTAGAAGGGAAATGAAATTGGTGTTATGCTTGTGAGCCATCCTGTCTCCCAGTGTAGGCCACCGGAGACCTTCATCAGACAGCATGTCATGCAAGTGTTGTTGGGGGAAATCTTTGATTATGCCTGTCATTAGCTTACAGCCACTCAGTGATGTTTAAGAGTCACCATGCAGCCTGTGTAGACTAGGCTGAAGAATATAATGACCATGTTCAGAAGGAATTGTACCTGCTTTATGTAAAACCATTCCAAAATCATGCTCATGATGTAGGCAGAATCGTACCATTGACCATATCCTTAGCAGAGATTTTTCCAGATTATAGAAAGATTTTTGTTGCTTTTAGTCAACCAAATGGTAGTATATAAGGAAATTGCTTTCAGTAGTAACATGTAAATTCTATGCTTTCAGAAGGTAATACATTTTGTTATTTTCAAGGTAATGTTTCAACACTAATTCAGTCATAAAATTTCAGTTCTCTGTTTTCATTTGTTGAAGAAAATTCTATGTGTGACACACATTTGTCTTCTTGTACATGCAAATGGCATGTTCTAAGCTTGCCTCTCTATGACAGTATTTGGAACAACCATATGCACATAGTTTTTCACACAGGACATTTGTGCAAGTTTTTCTCAAAATTGTGTGGGAGAGATAGAGTCTGTACAGGTTTTTCTCTATTTTATTCACCAGGTGTAATGTTTCACAAAAATAAATGAGTTAATGAGTTAAGCACCTCTCCCAACTTGTGTTACATCATCCCTCACATGTTAAAACAAGTTAACTGTATTGGAGGGCTCTGTTCATTCCATGATTGTACCGCCTCATGCAAGCCCTCTTCTCAATTTGCAGAAATGCTGATTGTAGAGGGAGGCTTCCTATCTTAATGGTATGACCGGTTATTTGTGTCTCTTAAGATAATGGAATTAAATGTCCTTGGGTTTCCCAGACCAGCCAGCAACAATTGATGTCACCGATGATGCACTCCAGCTTCTGAAACTCATCTTTTGTGAAGTCAAATACCTGTTTTTCACCGTTTTCAACAAGAGGCTCAACCATGGGCACCTCCTCCACTCCGCCATGCTAACTCATGAGAACAATTTTCTGAAATGGTTTCTGTTAAATGGGTATTTTCTGGTAATGTAATCTGGCTTCCAATATCTCTGCAACAAATTAAAACAATAGCTTTCAATGTTATATTTGTTGCTCTATTTAAAAAATAATGCCAATCTGGAAAAATGTATCAAATTATCTTCAGAATATGATACACAACTAATATAAAGTATCAATAAGATATTTTGTGTAGTTGGAAGGAGCAGAATATAATCTCTAAAAAATGTATGT